GTTTGCTGCTAGAAAAAGCAGTGGGCCGGATAAGTTTTGTTCCATGGGGCAGACCTTGCATGAGTTACGGCAACTATAAAAGGACATATTTTAGGGAGACCAAATGACAGCAGCTAAGGAGAAGAGGAAAAAAGACAAAAGATTCATAATTATAGTTGCTTAAAAACAGAATATTCCTTGTAATAAAGTGAGTTGTCCCATCAGTGAAGTTAGTCAAGCATGGCCTGGATAACCATTGGGAAGGATGTTGCAGAGAGGATTCGAACAATGGAGAAGTAATTGCCTATCATATCCCTTTAGACCCAAGATTCTGTGATTCTCTTTCTCTTTCTCACCAGTTATAGGTGTGGCCACTGAGAGAAAGAAACAAAAAAGCAAACTGATGGTCCAAATATCTTAAATGTATAAAGCAGATACTCATTCTATGAAAAGGATTCCTTTCAATAAATAACTAAAATAGATTTTAAATGTTTGTCTACAGGCCATCAACTAACCAAAAATAAAGGGAAGGAAAGAATTAAAGAGCTTCAAGGATCTACTGCCAAATGAAGTCCAACCATAAAGGAAGGGCTGGCGTCGGAAAGAATGAAGCCAAGGATTCAATTTACCTACAGTATTCCTCAAATGCATCCATTCTTTTAAGACAGATTATTAAAATAGAGGGATTTCATAAAAATCACGGTGTTCATAAGGTTTATTGCCTTCGCACGAAATCACAAGGCCTCATTCGCTCCATCCCCAGCTAACACCAATCAATAGATTTAACTTTTTGACACTTTCAGAGAAAGACGGCTGAGCCTTGACTGAAGGTTATCGTAGAACCTATTGCAAGAAAAAAAACAAGCTCTGTTTGAGCTGGCAATAATCCAGATTGTCATCCATTCCCCTTTCAGAGCCACAGTGGATTTTTAGCAGTTTTCTGTTTTATAAACATTACCATGGCTCAACACGTCTATGGGAAGACACAACATTACCCATGGCTCCCATCCTGTTTGCTAACCAATTATATCAACAACCTGAACCAACTTAACACTACACAAAAACACAGCTGATTTAGCAATCTGTAAATTATACATGTACATAAATCTGTACCAAAATGTGCTGCGTTTCACTCCTGCTAATGTGCATGGATTTTTACTGGCACCTACCATTGTTTGATATAGGTTCCTGAACACTAAAACATATGTTCTGCCTAGAACGGGACCATTTAGAGTAATATTTTTGTAGTTTCCTGGCACCAAGGTCTGCCAGCCTTCCTAAGACAGATCTCCTATTTGCTTCAGCGAGCATTCTGACAACGAGTGCCTGCAGATTTAAGCAACCATCACAAAATATTCTGGAACGACACTTTCCAACCACGAATAGAATCAGGCTGGCTTCGCCTATGTGGCAACAAAACAGGAGCATTTCAAATGATCACTGACATGATCATAACCAAAAATCACGTCAATTCTGGGGCATTAATTATTCCGGCTGACTACTTACAACAATCCGAAAAATGGATAATTATCAAATCTTCCCTTCAAATGGAATTCAAAATGTATCAGAGAGAGTTAAAGTCGATTTTAGTGCTAGCAAGACCAGTAAAAAAAAAAACTCAGGAATGTTTTTTAATACAGTGACAGGCCTAAAAAACAGTTGCAGCCAGACAACACAGTAGAACAGGGGCAAGAACCTTGGACCAAGATTCACTAGAATGGAACATACTAATCAGAAACAGGGTTTCTGATTTCCCACTGTATCTCCAGCGTTCAATAAATATAAATCTTTGTTAAATGAATAAACCAGTAATGACTGCCCACTAGTCCCTAATCTGCTTCTAATTGCCTTTTTCTGACTCTGCCTCTTACTACTAATGGTACATAAATCACTTAACCTGAGGAATCCTAGTTCCTTAAACTCGAAAATGCAGCTCCTCTGTTGGCTTATGAGGATCAAAGGTGACATTCTATGAAAAGTGACTTGGGGCTTTATAATGGGGCACACAGATGGTAAGTGCCCGTTATCACGCCTCTGCCTTTGGCTAAACCACTGACAAAGGTGAAAGACCGCGCTTCCTTGAAATATAATTAGCCTCTCCTTTGCCCTATTATTCTGTTTGGACGTGGTAGCATGGCTCTTAGCCAAAATGGATGTTTTTCTTGTTGTTATAACATTTTATTTAATCTCCACTGGGAAATTATGCTTCTTGAGAGAATATAATGGCAACACAAGGAAAGTTTTTTGCATGGTGTACCATAAAGAACATGACACTGAAGTCAAGTGGCTTGGGACCTCATCAGTTTTGCCCCCAAATATATGAAGAAAGTTACTTGCATCAATTTCTTTCTCTATACAGTGATGGAGAAGAAGAGGTAGACTAGAAATTATTTAAGGTCTGTCTCATCCTAGGGTTCTATGATATTCCAGACACCAGATATTCAAACCACCCCCAAACAAAGCCAGTTCTATTGTTCATTAGCATATAATATGAGTAGTATTTTTGAGGATGATGAAAATAGTTCCACAGATTAAGTCATAAGAGCTGGAGAAACAATGCTACAAGAAGGATGTATGATAGATATCCCCGAGAGAACACCAGCCACAGGCACTGTCTGCTCTGCCACTCCAAATAAGTCACTTAGTATCTCTGGGACTCAGTTTTATGATCTGTAAATGAGGAATGTTAATGCCACACAGGACCACTGGCAGAAAATACCTGATAAAATAATCATCAAGTATTGCTATTTAAAGGCAAAACACTATTTAAATGCTGTAATGTCCAAAAACAGGCTTGTGGAGTTTAAAACGAGACAATCAATATCTTTAAATAGACTGTTTCCATCACAGTAAAATAACATAATGCATGCAGATATTGTGATATTTCTAAGAGTTCACTTTTTTTTTTCCATTCCTGTTCAGGAAATAATATAAAAGGGATCGCTAAAAAAAATAAATCCCAGGTTTCAAGATCAGAACCCTTTTTTTCTGAGAAATAGGTAATTTTGAAAGTTCACACAACTCTCCCAAAATGTTTTGTTTTGCTGCATTTGGCTGTTTAATTGAAATCAAGCTGTTGGGGCTGGTGCTGAAATGAAAATACCCACGCTAAATATATTCCCAGCTACTTATTCTATTGATATCCTATGTATTCTTACAGAGAAGTGGCTCTAAGAAGAGAAACTAAATTAGAAGGTATTCAGCCTTTCTCGGCTCCAGGATCCTTAAGGTTCTCCTACAAACAGAACTTTGTGACTGTAACATGTAAGTTTCACTTCCTGCTCCTTCCATCCAAAAACATACACAGCATACATTGGATACAGGTTTCCTCTCTTATTTAAAGGACACGGCCTCTTCACGGGGAAAAAAATAAAATTGTCACTGGTATTTATAAGTTGATATCACTGACAATGGGGTCCCCAAATCTGCAAGATCATCTCCATACCCCTTAACAGGACAGCAACAATGGCAATAACAGCACAGTAACTTTTAAACAATGATTTTATTTTAAAAATCCATGAACACCTCCAGCTATTTTATGGCAGAAGAGTTTATCGTGGCTGTTCACCTAGGAATTATCATCCCCTTGCATCTCCAGATAATAACTGTGACATTGCTAAAAGCCACCTTAGTTTGAATAAGGAAGACCTTGAAGGAAGGGGTGAAACAGTCTTCAATATTCTTAAGAGGCACATGGTAAAGATGTGATCATTTCTAAATAAGTTCTTAATATATGATGATGTGCTATGCTAGTTGATGTGTTTTCTTATGAGATAAACTTAAATCACATTTTAATTAAAGAGTATTTATTAGTAGCATAACTCACTTTTCATGCCCTTTCCCGGAATCCCTAACTAAATCCAATGGAAGCTCATCTTTTAAAACACGAGCTCCTTAAGGGTCTGAAACAGTGATATCTACACAATTAAAACCATTTCCTGAGTGAGCTCCTCATGTCATCCTGGTAGAAGAATGTCATTCTGGTAGAAGAATGTCATCTGTCCCTGAAAGGAAAGGGGTCCAGGAGCCTGCAAAGAGCATCTTAGGCTTGGGTCCCTTTTGTTGTCGCTGTTTGAGGAACCGGTGTGCGCTGCACCTCCCAACTATCAGGACTCTTGTTTGGTCTGCAAGTTCTTTAGCTGGGGTCTCTCCGCGGTGGGTCCGAAAGGCGATTGAAATTGGTCCTTCGCATCCCTGCTCCTAGGACTCTCGCCTCCCAGAGCTTCATGCTACTGTCCATCTTAATGCCACAGGGATACAGATGAATGCTGAGGATCGGCTTATTGGATAATGGATCTACTTATAGGCTGGATGAGTTTGGGAATCTATAGCTGAGCAAGACTTAAGGACAGCACAAGACACGGTTGTAGGACTGGAAGAGAGGAAACACGACAGGTGACCACTCAGCCTGCTCTGCACCTGTGCCCTCCAAGAAAGCCCCTCACGAACCCTAACTTAACCTCGAAGTGGGTGGGTGGCTGAAGGGGTGGAATCGGGCAGCCGACAGCGCGTCCCTATGTCCCCACGTCCCTACACCTCTGACTTTTCAGCTCCAGGGATGGAAAGTGGAGGCAGCTGCATCATGTCATTACGAGGGGCCAGGACCTGGAGTTAGGTCTCCGCTGCTGGCTGTCCCTGGGGAGAGGCGGCGCCTCGGGGAGTAGCCCGAGAGCCCCTGAGCCTGGGCCGGCGGGGGCTGCGGGCAGGACCGGCGGGGAGCGCTGCCGCTCCCGCTGCCACCACCCCCATCACTTTTCCCAGTACTTCGCTCCGCAGCCGTCACTCCCTCGGAGACGAGACCCAGACGGCGACAGAAAGGCCCAAAAGGCGTCCGAGGAGCGCTCTCCGCTAGGGATGGGGGCCCATCGGAGCCGCCCGCCCTGCCCACCGCTCCCTGCCCCCGCGCGCAGCCCGGGCGCCCGCGCCGCGACTCCCCGGCAGAGCCCGCGGTCCCGCGGCAGGCGCCCGCGGCGAAGGCTCGGACAGAAAGCCCGGGCGCCGACTCCGAATGCACCGCTTACCGTTGGACCGCCGGACGATGTTCTCCAGAAACGTGTTCTGCGGGGCCACCAGTCCCCTCCTGCCCCCGGCCATGGTCATCCTCCCCGCAGCAGCTCCGGGTCTGGGGGGCGTCCCGGCGCGGTGCTCACGGCAGCGGGAAGCGGGGCGCGGGGCCCGCGCGCGGTCCCGGCTCCGAGCGCCCCATGCGCCCCACGGGGACCCGGGCGGTCAGGGGCGGCGGCTCCGGCTGGCTGCCACCCTCGCGCCCGCTTCGCGCCTCCCTCCCTGCCGCCCGCCTCGCGGAGCTGGCGCCCGGCTCGCCGCTCTGCAGCCGCCTCCGGTGGGCGGGGGAGCGGCCGCGCCTGGGCCCGCGGCGCCCCCTACCGGGCGCGCGCCCCCGCCGGCCCGCGGGAGACGCAGCGCGGGGCTCCCGCCGCAGCCGGGAAGCGGCAGGTGGCCGCGGGCCAAGGCTGGGGTGGCAGCGCCACCCTCTGGGGACAGCCGGGAGCGGTGTTGCGGCTGCGCCGCGGGCCGGGTGGAGAGGAGGGCAGCGCGCCGCGCCCCTGGCGCGCTCATCCCCAGCGGGGTCGCCGCGCGTCTTGGGGGGGCACGAGGATGTAACTCTCCCTTTGCCCTGTTTCAGGCCGGGGCCCCCGGGGCCTCTGAGGCTCCGGGAACACCTTCTTGCCTTTCTGTAGGGTTTGCTAGCCTGATGCAAGTTGCCCCACCTTGATTCTGAAGCCAGAGTTTTACCAGTAATTGTTGGTAATGAAGTTGTGCTGTCAAGAGGGTAACCGACAGATTCCGCTTCATAAGAGGTGTCTTGGCTTGTTTTTACCGCAGGCTCCTGACATTTGGTAAATTTCCTGACTGACTGACCTGATTTCCATGCTTATCCAGTGAATATTTTACCAAAAGGGCCAAGAAAATAGATACATATATGCATTACTTTTTTTTTTAGCTGAAGCACAACCTCTTATGATCAGTATGTAAGCTTTAGAAACAGGGACGAACTGCCTGAAAACGGTCACAAACGGTGGAATTGTCTCCAAGGGCAAACGCTTGGGGTGGGAGTGGGGTAACCTTGGCCTGAAGGGCAGTGTGCAGTGCAGAGGATAACCTGCTAGTTTTTATGCCTGTCCCTGGCATAAGGAAGAATCTCATACACCCAGGGTTTCTAGGCAGAAGCTAAGACACCCGACCTGTGTTCCCTTATTTTGGAGGATTTCTACCTGTGCATACTCTGTACCTGTCTTTCTACTATATGTCCCCAGTGGGTGTGACAGACTAAGCTTATGCCCCACAGAAGCAATGAGCTGATGGTTCACTAGTTATCAGATTGAGTCAACTGTCAACATAAAAATGTAAGAAGAGAAAAACTGTCCCCGGAACTTAATTGTCTGGGTAACCATCCTGACACATCCTAATGCATTGCAAAGACACCCTGTCTCAGTTAATTAATTTCAAAAACAGAAGAACTAATTCTCGCCCAGCAATCTCTCAGACTTGCTGTGAAGATCAAACGAGATTATGTAGAGGACAGCACTCTAAATCATGAAGTGCTATGCCAAGGTCAGACATCATTATTGGAGTGACTAAATAGACTGGGCCATGACAAATGCCATCCTTTGTCTCGTCTTGTGTAAACACAAAGAAAACAGATGACTGTTGTTAGCAGAGTTAGATAAGGCGGTCACAGGCTTTGAAATGAAAGTAATGATATACTTCTTCCTTAAAATAACATTGTACCCATCCTACACTCACACAGCTCAGAGTTGTGATTTCTTAAACCCTAGCTCCGTCTAGTGGTTGTTTGTTCTATTACAAATAAGATAACAAACAGTAGTTGAAGAGAACTCTGAAATGTATTATTTGGTACTGAGCTGAGCTGGTTTGGTGTCTGCCCACTTCATCAGAATCAGTTCATTTGAATAAAGTTCTTAAGATTGTGTTATGTACTACACAAACATGCCCAAGGGGAGGCTCTTCATGACAATATTAAAAACCCATCAAGCAACCTCATAATCCTGCTTGTGAAGGGAAGATAAAGAAAATAATGGGGGAAGAACACAGTCATAAACAATTGATAAAATTTCTTAGATTTTAATGAGCTCTCATGTTCTATGGCTCAGATAAAAAGGAAATAAATGGTATTCATTTGAGTTGATCAATGTTAAAGCCTTAGTAGGCTGCCTGATAAGAAAAAGAAATAAGGAGATGTCTCCCAATTTTAAATGTACTATTACAGTGGTTCCCAGCATACATTTTGTGTGTGACGACACTTTTTTGTAATTTGAACTATAACTTTTAGTGGCACACTTGAAATTAAAAGACTAAAACAACACTAAACAGTTCATAATCTTGGCCAGGCACAGTGGCTCATGCCTGTAATCCTAGCATCTGGGAGGTCAAGGCGGGAAGATCACTTAAAGTCAGGAGTTCAATACCAGCCTGAGCAAGAGTAAGACCCCATCTCTGCCAAAAATGGAAAAATTAACCAGGCATGGTGGTGCATGCCTGTAGTCCCAGCTATTTGGGAGGCTGAGCCAGGAGGATCACTTGAGCCCAGAAGTTTGAGGTTGCTGTGAGCTGTGATGATGACACTGCAGTCCTGCCTGGGTGAAAGAGTGAGACCCTGTCTCAAAAAAAAAGAAGTCCACAGTCTTTAATCAACAGGGTGACGGTGTCTCCTGGTATCTATGAAAGCACATCTAGCCTTTCCTCCATTCCCTTGGCTGACCCTCAACACATCTGGCGGTAGGAATAGAATCACACTCTGCCCCTGTTGACATTCTTTTTGATATTTACAGGTAAAGGCTGATGTTCCAGTAAACATCCAGTAAAAATCCATCTTTCTTGGTACATGTTTGAAAGAGCACTGTGCTTTTTATATCCTACTTGCTACCTTCTGTTCCCTACGAGAACATTCAGTTCCAGAACCTGCTCAACTTAAAGTTCTGAGATCTATCACTGTAGTATAGGAATCTCAGAGCAAACTTCAATCTTACAAAATTTGGTAACAGATTTGTGAAGGATTCACAATCCACCAATGGGCCTTTGCAAACCAGCTGAAAACCCCTGCATTTTTGCATAACAGACAAAGCCACTTTTTATTTAAAGGAAAACTATACTTTATTTTTTTCCGAGACAGAGTCTCACTCTGTTGCCCAGGCGAGAGTGCTGTGGTGTCAGCCTAGCTCACAGCAACCTCAAATTCCTGGGCTCAGGCAATCCTCCTGCCTCAGCCTCCCGAGTAGCTGGGATTACAGGCATGCGCCACCATGCCCAGCTAATTTTTTGTATATATATTTTTAGTTTGCCAATTAATTTCTTTCTGTTTTTAGTAGAGACGGGGTCTTGCTCTTGCTCAGGCTGGTTTCGAACTCCTGAACTTGAGCGATCCACCCACCTCGGCCTCTCAGAGTGCTAGGATTACAGGTGTGAGCCACCGCGCCCGGCCTAAAGGAACAATTTTAAATAACTGTGACCAGAGTTCCAGCGGAACTGCCTCTGTCCTTCTGTGCAGAAAATAAGCTACAACTGCCTGAAACTTCTCCCAAGAAAGACACACAGAGTTTGAAATAAAAACTGAAGTTTTACTTTACTGTTTCTATGCTTCCCCTCCTCAGTGGTTCTCGTCCTGGTCTCCCTCAGCATTCTGTTTACCCCTAAATTATAACATGTGTTTACACAAGTATACATGTCTGTATCACACAATAGATCAGGAGCTCCTTGAAACAAAGACAAACTTTAACAATCTTTGTTCTCGTCAATGTGATTAAGCCATGCTGTAATTAGTGAGTCCAGAAAGGAATAGATAGCCATGGAGGCAGAAAGCTACAGAAAGAACATGAAGATGGAGGTCAGCAGATTGGCTGGGAAAAGAGTTCAGGAGATGACAGAAAAATCTCTCCCCACAACAAAAAAGTCCATCAAATGAAGAGGAAGACAGTGCCATACATCAGAGGAGCAAATGGCATGCAAAGACAGGAATTTCCTTTTTTCTTTCATGAAGACTGCGAGGTATGGGTGACAGGTTTCAGACACAGGAGAGTTGGCCGTGAGACCTGGAAGGCCTGGGGCCGGACAGGGCAGGCCAGGGTACATCATCATTAGCAACCGCAGCAGAGGAGAAACTGAACATAGAGGTGGTTTCATGACTTGGCCACCATGACCGAAATATCTAAAAGCGGTGGAAATTTGCTGCATGGGAAATTTCAGCTTCTAGAGCCCAGTGGCTGACTGGCTTATTTATTACATGTAATTTCTGCTAACAGAACTTCTATTTTAATGGACTTATAGGAAGAGTGTTGGGCAGGCTACATGCATTAGAACAACCTGTTCTGTATAATATAAGGGATGTCTCTCCATCAAGGGCTTCAAGACGGGCAAAAGAATCTGCCTGGGTGGGAATTCTAGTCCATGAATCTAAATGACTGGGGGAAAAGAATGCACTGATGTGGGTCTTACACTCAACTGTGGCTAACCCAATGGACATTTTTAAGTCTTTATAGAATTGGGTTACATCCTTCTAAGTGCCCAAACCTATTATCCTTCTTTTTCATTTCCTCTTTTCAAAAGAGAGAAGGATCTTTTAACACACTCCACACCCAATGGAAAATAATTAAAAGTCATTTAGAACAGTCTCGTTTTATTTTAACAAACATTTGCACAGAGTCTAGCATATACCAGACGAGTTCTAAAGATGAAAAGATGGTTATGATGGGTATCTGCCCTCAAGAAATTCAACAAACCTTTAATGAGTGCTTATGTTCTTTGTGATTTCTCTCCTTTCAACTACTTTCCTCTTTCCATTATGCTCTCTAAATCTTGCTTTCCTTGTAAATAAACTACTGTTCAACTTGACCTCTTCACTGAAGACTATCCTGCCTCCTCTTAACTGAGACCTGGCTCTTCCCTAAGGTTTCAGAGTCCTGTAGATCCCACTTCTTTGGAAGATATTTATTCTGCCATAGTCCCTGTGCCTAGAAGATATAAGTTGAGGTGAGAATTTGTCAAGTTCCTCATTGCCATATTTAAATCACTAACTCTTCTCCATTCTTTTAAGATTTCTCCTGCTTTGGAGTTCATGACCAATAACAGTATCACTCTACTCCTCTTCAATTCTTAAAACAGATTTGGAGAAAACTGTATTCAGTTTTAAAAAGGTTGAGTTGCTTGAGGGACATCGCAGAGAAATACTGAATAGGCAATTGGACAGATAGGTTTATAGCCCAAGAGAAACATCTGGGTAGAGCCAGAGATTGGAAGTCAGTATACAGCTTTCACAGGAGACTAAGAAGGAGCAGTTCAGAAGTGGGGAGAACTGAGAGAAGTTGTTTTGTAGGAGTCCAGAAAGAGAGGAAGAGTCTTTGAGAAGCATGAAGAACAGCATCTTATATTGTACATTATACAAATAAACACTGGAAAATGTCCACTGGATCTAATAATTAGTTGGTCGTGTGAGACCTCAATAGAAACATTTTCAATGGAATAGTTGGGAGGAAGCCAAATTGCAATGGGTTTAAAGATTAAGTAGAAACACACAAATAAGATGACAGGCTGAGATAAGGTACTGCCTTCTTACCCCAAACATATAGAAATGCTAGGTAAGCTACTTTTAAATATATTTTAAATATATTGCTAAGCTCAAAAGCAAAAAGGGAAATTTCAGATGTCAAAAATAATAAGAAATCCATAGCAGTTAGTGGGAATCAGTGGTGGAGGTTGGGGGTGGGGAGGACCCACAAAGAAATGCATCTTAGGGGCTGCAGCTTTCGAATCTGTGTGCTGATGTGGGCTGGAGACACAGGCTCACACCAGTAGAGAAACTGGAACAGGATTCCTGATAGAGCCAGGAGCCTGGAAAAACACGACCAGTCAGCCCGAGAGACAACCAGGTAGACAATGGAGCCATTCCTTCAGAGGGGAGCACAGAAAATGTCAAAGGACCTTTTGAAAAGGCTGAAAAATAACAATAAAATATCTGTGTCCTTAGCAGCTAAATTCCGATTGTGTGAGCCTTGCAAAAATAAATAAGCTATTTCATATCTTAGATATTTTCACTTACCTTTAATCATTTCATTTTGGAGAATGATTCTTTTTTTAATTTATATAGAACAGAAATTTATTTTTCACTGTTCTGAAGGCTGGGAAGTCCAAGATCAAGGTGCCCGAAAGTTCAGTGTCTGATGAGGGTGTCTCTGCTTCCAAGATGGTGCCTTAAATTCTGTTTCCTCCATGGGGGAAAAACACTATGTCTTCACATGGCAGAAGAACAGAAAAAACTCATTCTCTCAAGCCCTTTTATTTTTTTGTTTTGTTTTGTTTTGTTTTGTTTTGTTTTGTTTTGTTTTTTTCAGACAGAGTCTCACTTTGTTGCCCAGGCTAGAGTGAGTGCCATGGCGGCAGCCTAGCTCACAGCAACCTCAGACTCCTGGGCTCAAGCGATCCTACTGCCTCAGCCTCCCGTCTCAAGCCCTTTTATAAGGCCCTAATCCTATCTATGAGGGCTTTGCCCTCATGACTCAATCACCCCCTAAAGGCCCCACCTCTTGATACTATTACATTGGTGATTAAGTTTCAACATCTGAATTTAGGGAGACACATTCGGATCATAGCAATGTATATCTGTAGTTAGTGACTCTTTTTCATAACATTATCCTTTTCCCTCCCATCTCCTACCCCTGAATATTCTTCAGGTCTACCTCTGAGTACTTGGTCATCATAGGGATCTTACATCCCTCATATCAGAAAGGAGCTAAGTATCAGGAGGTAGTTATATTTTTGTGCTTCAAGTAGCTTCATCTTATTCTGTGTCAACAGCTAGAGATTTCAAAAACCATTTTCTCTGACCGCTTGTTTATGCCTGTTCTCTTATTTGCCATTCAGTAAAAGGTCTTTAGCACAGATGTTTTGATTGTCAAACAATAATTAGGGAAGAAAAGCACTCCACATGGGTGCAGAAGATTTCAGGGAAATTGCACCATCTTATTCCTCAGTCCAACCATAGGTTGCTAAACCAACAAGTTAAAGGGGTTGCAATTTCTCCAAACTAATAATGTTTTATTTAAAGGTGTAATCATCATAGGAAATATAAACTATCAGAATTATTTATGGCATGGGACCTTGGGGATAGGTACTAGTAGGTGTCTCAGTTGTTTTTCAGTTTCCTCAAAAGATCCTTTGATGCTTTCTTTTCCAGTTAACTTCCTCAGTTCATTCTTCAGTTCATGGGGTTGGAACCTATAACATATTACTGCAATTTGTTCTAACATGACTTCAGGTAAAAAAAAAAGAGAGAGAGAGAGACCTTATTTTGTCTTTTAACAAAACATTAGAGTATCTACTTAGTACTTTGACAACCCCACTATATTAGTTACCTATTGCTGCATTAAAAAATCAGTGCATAATTTATTAGCTTAAAACAATACATACTTACTATCCCACAGTTTCCCTGGCTCAGGAATCCAAGTGCAGCTCAGCCTGGGAGCTTTTGCTGGAAGGGCTCTCACAAGGCTGCAATCGAGCTGCTGGCTGGGCTCGCAGTCTCATCTGAAGGCTCAACTGGCGGAGGATCTGCTTCTAAGCTCCCTGACATGTTTTTTAAACAAGATTTAATTGCTCACAGGTTGTTAGCCAAAAGCCTCCTTCAGTTTCTTGCCAAGTGGGTCTCTCCACAGGGCAGCTTGCAAGATGGCATCTGGCTTCGCACAGAGTGAGCAAGTGACAGAGGAGGAGAGTGAGTGTCCCCAATGAAAGCCACAGTCTCACAGTCTTTTTTTTTTTTTAAGTATTTTTAATGACTGAAACAAAAAAACACTTAAAATCGCAGCTTCTGGAAGAACCACTTATTCTTACCCGTCTTGTGCCTCTCTTCAAACTTGACCTTGGCCTCCCGTCGGGCCTTGCGTTTAAGAGCAGGGTCTCTGAAGACACCCTTGTTGACGACAGCTTTGTCCAAGGGTATATCCATAGAGTACCTTGTGGGCATGAGGTGACTGTAGTTATAAACTTTCACAAAAGACTTGATCTTTGATCGCTTGGCGATCTTCTTCTTGCCCGTGACAGCTGTCACTTTGCGGGGATAGCGGCCAATTCCTGCCACCAGAGCATGGCTGTAGGGACGGTCTAAAGTGCCATCATCAATGTTCTTCACGATGACTGCTTTCCATCCGGAGTAGCGTCTGGCCAGGACCAGCACCCCTTTCCCGGGGTTTCATGAACTTGCCCATTTCGACAGCAACCAGCTGCTCCCCCAGCAGAAAACTCACAGTCTTTTTGTGATCCAATCTCAGAAGTGACATCCCACCCCCAACCCTTCTGCTGTATTCTGTTCATTAAAAATCAAGGCCACACTCAAGGTGAAGGGATGAATAGCAGGAGGCAGGGATCACTGCAAACTTCCTCAGGGGCTGCTTACCACATCTGCTTTTGACCCAAAACATCTGTAAACCGTCATCCGCCACAAACATTCCCCTGTGTCTTTGGGACATTCAAGTCTCTGAACTCCCCTTGTCATTAACACCACTCACTACCAAGACCACGGCCTTTACTTCCCAAGTTACTCAGCTGAGACAGCATAGGCTGTCATTTCAAGTAGCTCTCACCAGTACCTTAAACTCGCTTGCCTCTGTCTTTTCATAATACCCACCTCTGGATAAAGCACAAGATCCGCTCCCTCTGGGTCAGCATCCGGGCAGCTAAGCCACGCTGGAGGAAGTTGCGAAACAGGCCAGGTTGGCTTCGCTGTCCCATAACGATGTCCTGCCCCAGCCGAGCCCTCCGCACACCTGGCGGCCATGTTCTGCTGCTCTAGATCAGCTTGATTCCACTCCTGACCATTTTAAACCTTCTTCCATCCTCCTCACTCTCCCAGTTTCAATTTTGTGCCCCATTTCCCAAAGAATTAAAGCCAACGATGCGAGTTCCCTTGACCTTCTGCCACAAACACCTGTTTGCAATCGTTACTGTCCTCTCAGCTTTTCCACCTTTGGAAACTGTACTGCGCTCTGAGTCTCAACCCCCGCTCTCTTCTCAGAATGTAGCTTTATATCGTCTCTATCATGTGTCTCCCACGTCTCCTCTCTGCCCAATCCTGCATGTGAGTATTAAAAATAAAAGTCCCCTTTTGATTCAAGAAGGTTAAAAAAGAAAAAGAAATAACTAATAACAATAAATAAATAAAATCCCCTGACACCTCCTCCCACTCTGCCAGCTTCTATCCTGTATTTCTCCTCTTCTCTACTGTTGATCTGTAAAGAATCGCCTGAACTCACTATGTCCATTTCCTCACGTCCTATTCTCTCTTCAATCCAATCCATCCACTTCCTCTCCCATCACTCTACTGAAATGGTTCTCATTAAGGTCATTAACGACTTCCGTCCACATCACTAAAGCCAGTGGACGTTTTTCAGCCCTCATACTACTAAACTTCTTGGTGGCACTTGGAACACACTTTTCTTGGCCTCTGTGATCCCATAGTCTTCATTTTCTTCCTATGTCTTTATAGTGGCATTGTTCATATTATGGTTTCCCAGCATTTTTTTTTTTTTTTTTGAGACACAGTCTCACTCTGTTGCCCAGGCTAGAGTGAGTGCCGTGGCATCAGCCTAGCTCACAGCAACCTCAAACTCCTGGGCTCAAGCAATCCTCCTGCCTCAGCCTCCCAAGTAGCTGGGACTACAGGCATGCGCCACCATGCCCGGCTAATTTTTTCTATATATTTTTAGTTGGCCAATTAATTTGTTTCTATTTTTAGTAGAGACGGGGTCTTGCTCTTGCTCAGGCTGGTTTCGAACTCCTGACCTTGAGTGATCCACCGGCCTCAGCCTCCCAGAGTGCTAGGATTACAGGCATGAGCCACTGTGCCTGGCCTCTCAGCATCCTTTAAATGCATTTCCATATTGTGTTCACTTCCTTCATTATGAGTCCCACCTCCTCTCCCCACCTCAAGGCCAAGATGAGGGCCTGCACTGCCTGCCTCACTCACAACCGAGGGTAAGCACGTGACCGTGACCATAGCTCACCGTAGCCTTGAACTCCTGGGCTCAAGCAGTCTTCCCACTGTTAGGGTGGGAAGCCCAGTAGGTGCTCCTACCACAGGTGGAGAAAGGTTTCTCACACAGAGATTAAGATATATATACAAGTTAAAATGTTGCTTTATCCCTTTAGAAGGCAAGAGACAATGAGACAGTGAGAGAGAGGAAGGAGAGGGACAGCAGGGAGACAGTGTGGCATCCCTCAGAAAGAGAAGGGGGTGCCTGCACTGAGGCCAGGTGGCTTGCTGATTTTGTGGGGACAAAGAGAAAGAAAAAACATAGTGATTCTTGTCAGTCGAAACAGAAGCAACTGTGGAGTAATTAGCAGGAGCCACCCGGGAGCCTCAGCTTGTGTTTCTCTCTGCTCCTGGAGACTTGGTTATCTCTGAGATGGAGTCAGGCTTATCGAAAGGATGTGATTTTGCCCCTGAGATGTGGTTCTGGGCAGGACACTAAGGCCTGGAGTTTGCCCCCACTGTTGTCCATGGGGGGGGGGGAATTCTCTGGAACACCTTGAGGCTATAAAACAAATTCCAAAAGCAGCTTCTGGCAAATGTAAAGAGAAAGATTTACATTTCCTTTTTATCTGTTGGGCTCCCGGCAGGGTGCCGGCCTGCGCAGAGAGAGAGAGAGAGAGAGAGAGAGAGAGAGAGAGAGAGAGAGAGAGAGAGAGAGAACGAGCAGAGAGAGAGCAGAGAGAGAGTTCATAGGATTGATCTTTAGCTGTTATTAGAAAATTTCAGGATTAGACATTTTTCCTGTTATTTCAGCAAGTACACCCCTCTTACCTACCTCCGCCTCCCAAGTAGCTGGACTACAGACGCACGCCACTACACAGGCCCTCTGCTCTTAGATGCCACTTTGTCTACTCGCTCTGGCCATCTTTTTCCATAAATACTATCTCAACATTGACAGGCCCCTCCGTGGCTACCTAGCAAGTCACTTAGTAAATTACCTTTTAGTAGTAACTACACAGAAGGACTACTCAGGAGCCTTCATTCAACTTACCTGTGTAAAGAAATTATTAAACATTACAACACAGTTCTGAAAGTCCTATTACAAATCATCATGGTAAGAAACAAAGTGAAGAGGGATGACATATAGAAACCAGAGCATCTACAGCTCTCCAAATACTGCCTCTTTAGAGGAACCTAAGTGCAGAAATAACAAAAGATAAATGCCAGAGAGTTGTATCAACCTGTGAAACAAATGCCAGAGACTAACTCCCTTAATGTTCTGAGAATCGAGGAAAATGCTACAGGCAACCAAAATCTTATTCTTAGGACAAGAAAATGAATATATAAAGCAGAGGACCCCCATTTGGAGAATATGCATGCCCAGAAATGTAACAAATGGCAGAGAATATGGAATTCCTCAAGGTCCCTTTTGCTCCTACCTTCTTTGTTAAAGAGAATAACATTTAAACTGTAGGCAATTTTCATCCAACAAAAACAAGAAATTAAAATCTAAAATATGGAAAAAATATATTAAGAAACTGTACGGCTAAAGTTAATTCCAGTTTCCAAGCCCGGTAAATGAAAAATTAGAGATACCAGAAGCCTAAAACACAAGAAAATGTTTTATTTTGTTTGCAATGGGTAAGAAATGAATTATTTTGAAAACCACAGTTTAGCTTGATGCTCATGCTAGAAAAATTGCTGGTAGGTTATTAAACAGGTGGGTTGGGAGTGCCCAGAAAGGAAAGAACTAATCACTGGGAAGCAGAATGGCTAAATCAAGTGGAAAAAGAGAGAGGAGCAGGAGATGGTAGAAGGAGAGAGAGTACAAGGGGAAATTGTGAAAGCCTTCGAAATGGACCAAACAGATGGCTGGAGAAAGTTCTCCATGAAAACTAGGCAGTGTCTGGCACATACTTCCTAGATATCTAATCTACAGGGGCTTTTTCCTTTCGTGGGCTTTAAATTGTAACTCTGTAAGTTATAGACAACTGGTAGCAATGCAAATTATTCTTGTCCAGAGACGTGAAAATGAATTATTTCTGATGGAGTGCCAATTGAGTGTCCTCCCCTACTGTTGAAGAAGCCAATTTTACATTTTTGATGCAAATTCATTTCCTGATGGCCTGTACGGCCTATGTATGTGTCTGCTCTTTGGATTCTCTTTTGAATCTTTTTTTTTTTTTTTTTTTTGGTGCATGTGTGTGTAGCATCTCTTTAAAAATATATCCTTTTATGGAGCCAGTCATGGTGGCTCACACCTGTAACCTTAGCACATTGGGAGGCAGAGGTGGGAGGATCACTTGAGGTCAGGAGTTCAAGACCAGCCTGAGCAAGAGCGAGACCCCATCTCTACCAAAAATAGAAAAATTAGCTGGTGGTGTGCACCTGTAGTCCCAGCTACTCAGGAGGCTGAGGCAGGAGGATCACTTGAGTACAGATGACAGAGCAAGAACTTGTCTCAAAAAATGTATATATACATCCTTTTATGGGAGGATGAGAGAGGCTTCCAGGCAGAGGGAATAATTATAATGTTTTTAAAATATGGTATTGAGAATGAACATGGTATGTTGGTAGCAAGAGAGGCACAGGAGTAGTAGGGAAGTGAAGCTTGAAGGGTAAGCAAAATTTAGGTCAAATTGGCTTTTTGATATAATGGAAGTGAAAAATGTATTATCTTAACAGCTGGTACCATGATTCCTCTTAGGGAGGTTTCTCTAATTTTTCAAGGCAGTTCTTGGAATGCTGCTTGGTGATAGAGCACAAAGCATGAATGTCAGCGGGGACCAAGGAAAACATTTTAGGAGGTGGCTAAAGTGATCTTCCTAAAACAAAGAAAGAAATTTGCTTTAGCTCCTGGAAGGAGAGGAAAAGAGGAGAATCAGGAATATGACATCCAGTTGGAGACCATGTAAGGTGAAGAGCCAGTAATCAAATCTAGAGTTGGAGTAGCTAAAAAGCATTTCAAAAAATGGATGTCTAATGCTCAATCTGACGTCATTCATTTCTGTAGGTGCGACGTAAACTCTTTCAAAATTAGCTTCGAGTCAGCTAATGTTACGGTCAAATTCTAGGGGATTCCATAAGCGTTTGTAGAACTTAAAAGGGAACAGAATGACATATCTGAGTTGCAGAAGAGGCACAACCCACTAAAACATGAGCCCACAAGGGAGGCACTGTTGCAAAAGATGCACCCCACAGAGACACAGAAATCTTGGGAAGTCAGATTCTCTAGGA